CTATTTCAGATAAACCCAATGAGATTTTTGATTTTTGCCCAACCTCGACAGCCTGCCACCCCTCTCCCTCTCTCTCTCTCTCTCTCTCTCTCTCTCTCTCTCTCTCTCTGTCGATCAGTCAAGCCCACTCTTGACAATTCGCTGATTGTTTTCAATTGGCGATTTCATTGACACTCAAGTGACAATGAAAAAATAGCCAAATACAAAAAAAAAAAAGAAAAACGCGAGAGAAATAAAAGAAATACCCACTAATCGAGCACAACAAGTGGCATTTTAAAGGCAACAAAAATCTGGCCATAAAAGCCAAAATCCGCGCCTCAAACTAGCCCGAAAAAAACAGCATATAAATCTTTGCGTAGCTTCCTATAGACAATATTGATTCTCGGCTAGACGAGAATTATTTAACTACACAGTTAACACAAGTATTTAACGAATGCTTAACATGTCGCCCAACAGCGCACAGGGTATGCTGCACATTTCTGCTGCGTATGTAACACGAGCTCAGCTCGAGATGAGGTTAGCCTACAAATATTTTATAAAATATAGTTAGGGCATAAAATATGAAGAGAAAAAAATATATATATATAATATTATTTAATACTCTTTGATAGACCAAAGCAAGCAGAATATATTCTTGCTTTTCTTGCATTTCTAGATTAAGGATTTGAAGATTATATATATTATATATATATAGTTATAGAGTATCTGCTATCTGTATAGCATCAGCTCTGCCCGGAAGAGTCTCTACTCTTCGACACGCCGAATATATGCAACTTTTTTTGTGGCTTAAAACAAATAATAATAAATAAATAATAAGTACTAAACAGAAGTAAGAGAGACAAAGTATCTATAAACAAAGCACATTATGTTTAGTAGACAAACTTATGAGATTCATAAATACGCGATTTGCATGTCCGGGATGTGAAAGGCCCCAAATGGATTGTCTCCGGGATTGAAAAGATGACCAATTTGATGCTTATCTGGGGAAGCTCTCACAGTAGTATCTATCAGCTTATGTTTCCCTTTGAAGCATATTTTATAGCAAAGCTTTGACCCGAACTGCCTTTTCAAGTCATATAGGGTATACGCATTTGCAGGACTAACTTGTTAATCCTTTTAAGTATAAATATTTTTAGATGTTTTATGTTAGAGTTATAAAAAATTATGCTTATGAAATATTCATACATTAGCCGGGAATTTGAACCAGCACCTTCCTTGATCAATTGCCTTAAGGTTTGTTCTTTCGAATAATGACAAGTTATTCGATTCAAATTGAATCCTACATTATTATATTTGTTATAATAATTTATTATATTATTTTATTTGAAGCAAGCTATGCCTCTCCACGGCGTCTCGCTTCGAGCCATGCCCAACTATTTATTAGATATTCAATTTAATTATTATTAATATCTATTATCATTAGTTATTGTAGATATTTCTGCTTCAGACTTGAGCTCCATATAACATATCTCTTATCTCTTAACTTAGCTCCTATAAAGTTGAAGTTTCAACCTTCAGTTTCTTAAGTCTGTCTTGCCGATCTTTCAGATTCGGCTTTAATAGATCGATCAACAACTTTCAATTAAGCTAGCGCATGTATATTGCTGATCCGAAGATAATGCCTCGCCCACCGTGCACCGCCCCTCAATGCAAGCCCATTGACCGTGTTATTGTTTTTTTTTTTTTTTGTTTTTTCTCGGATCTCGTTTTGTGGAGCAGAGACCTTGCGGCCAGACAAGAATTGATATGGGTACAACGGCGAGTACAAGCGAGACTTTGAGTACAAAGTACATGATAAAAATATTGTTTTGTCGAGCTGGGCTTAAACGCTACTCAAGAAAGAGAGAGCGAGAGAGTGAGAGAGAAGACGCTGGTCCAAACGCTACCTGGTTTGGACTTTTTCCGGCTGCTGTTGGCCAGCTCCGGGGTTTTGTCATGTACATCGCGACGCTTACCTTGATGGGAGCTGTGTCTGTGTCTCTTTGGATCTGTCTTGCGGGTCTCTGTTTCATCAGTTGATTATTTTTGTCGGACGCTTTTGTTGAAGACACACGTTAAACGCTTGAATGACACGTTCAATTGAACATGAGACATCAAAAAAAAAAAAAAACCAACTGAGTGACAAATACAAATGAAATCCGACTAGTTAGAGGTCCCACAGATCTACGAAGACCTCAGCTGTTACCGAAAAAATGCAAAAGATATAAAAATAAAAAAAAAACCAACCAGAGTTGGCCTAACAATTACATAAAAGCCAAAACAACAATGTCCCAAAGAGCCAACAGAAATCAAATGACCTCAATCGCAAATTAAATTGAAAAGAGAAAAAAAAACCAACAAAAACATGTTTAAAGTTTAAACATTACAAAAATGTGACAGAGGGCAAGCTGGGAAGCTGCGGGCAGCAGGCGAAAGACAAGGGCTGGGAGCGTGTGAGAAATAGGCAGCTCGGCTAGTCGGGAGTGCCCAACTGGCAGATACCCTATGCCTAGAAATAAAACGCAGAAAGATTAACTATGCAAGAAACTTGTCCACCATATGCTTTAATAAATCCCACAAATCGATAGTATGTAAGATTCGATTAAGCTAGGTATCGATATCGATATTTATCGATTTTGGGCAAACAAGCGTTGCAACAAAATAGCTTGAGGTGCGCAGAGTATGCGAGCGAGCAGCTAAGCAAATTGTTTGTCTACAGCTATTATCAATAATTATCGATGTCTAACGATATTTATCGATTGTAGTCAAATGCGTCTGGCTGGTCGACAAACTACTAACCTACGTGCAAGCTTGCTGTATATAAATCTGAAAATCTATTAGATGCGAACATAGTTAAATATCGATATTTATCGATTTTGTCAGATATCGATAAAACACCAAAAAACTAGATAAATCTCGCATTTAACTGCTTTTGACATTCTATCGCAAGAGTTGATCGATTGCGCAAGTGCGCACAACTTCAGCATACCCTACTTACGCAGTTTTAATGGGTATTTAGAGTATAATTTAAATGGGTCACACATTTTGGCGGGCCGAGAATAGCCCGAATTCATTAATAATATTGGCTAATCAATTAACAATGCGCTAAACGCTAAGCCAGTTGAGGAAAATTAGCTACCAATTCTCAGACCACCCCCACCTCCCACAGCCAAATCTCAGCCCGCCCCTCCCCTTGGCAAAGCGCACTGCAGCTGCCTGTGCGAATCCAGTTAAAACCTGCTCATGGTCATGGCCAAATGCAACAAGTCGCAGACTACTTCCCCTTTGCACAGCAGCCCCCCCCCCCCCCCCTCGCCTCACCTCACCTCACCGCCCCTTGCGCTGCCTTTAAAGAAAATAAAAAACACGCGTAAATCTGCGTCTTTGTCAAGGCGAGCGCCAAAAATGTTGCGTTCGTTGGCAGCCAAAAGGAAGCCAGCGCCACGCACGGCCCAACAACTGGCATAAAAATTGTCAACCGAAATGCCAAAATGTCTGCAACAACAACAAACAACAACAACAACTTGCAAACAACAATAAATTGTTGCGCAGTCGCAGCTTCAGTTGCTGTTGTCTCAATACCCAGGGCAAGTGCTTGAAAAAAGGGTATTTAAATGTTGTGCCAGACAGGAAGCAGACATCTTCAAATGCATACATCTACTTATTATATATCTATATGTACTCTTGATCAATTAACTCCAGAGTTATAGATCAAGTTTAGTTCACAAAATCGATAAATATCGATAAACAGCTGAAGGTTTTTCTGCGCATATCTCGTAACTCACAAGAGCTAAAATCACAATATTTAGGCTTTCAAATTGTTAACGCTAATCAGGCATATTTTATCTCCCAGATAACTTTCCCCATGCCCAACAAATTTAAAGAAAGGCGCATTTGTTAAGGTATTGTCTTGGACTTAAACAGGCAAGTTATTCAAGAGGGGGACAATGTGAAGAAGAGGCAGCAGCTTTGCAGCTTAAACTGATCAGCGCCTGTCGTTGCTGAGTGCAGGGTATCTGCTAGTCGGGCACTGCCGACGAGTGCAACAGCTACTTGTTGTGCTTTTGAGGCTGTGCGCTTTCAGTTACGAATGCAGCAAACTGGATGCGAGCTGGCCAACTGGCAACTGGTTACAAGACAACCAACAACCAACAACAACAACTGACAACAACAACAACAACAACAACTGACAACAACAACAACTGACAACAACTGACAACAAGAAATACAGAGTGCAAATATATTATGAACAACACAGGAGAAGATCGCATGGCAAAGCTGAGCTGAGACATAAATTCACGGAGGTGCCACAGTTGGCAACATGTTGCAAGCAGGTAAACGGCAAGGGGCAAGGGAGGGGGAGGCGGAGCAACATTATATAATAAACAACAAACAGCAGAGCTGAAACAGCGGCAAGTTTTTAATGTGCCACCAAAACGAGAAGACAAAACGCAAATAAATCAAAGTCTGTCGCGCAAGCGCGACTGGCAGATACCCTGTAAAAGGCTCCAAATGGCAGTAAGCACAGAAAACGCAAATTACAGGGCATAACAATGGCATTTAATGACCTTTATATTGGCAAAGTCAAGGCCAAATGAATAAACACATAAATCATTTAAGAAAATTCATTGGGAAACGCTTAAAAGGTTCTTAAAATATTCATAAATTAAATAAATCAATCTCTTCAGAGTGTGTAACTTCTAAAATGTACAGCTGCATTTCGATATTTATCGACTTTAGAGGCATGTTATCGAAAGTAAGTTTAGACCTTTGTGCCTAATGTAACCCTAATGTACCCTGTTTGCCCCTTGGCCGATCTGTACAGGGTATCAAAGCGTCAGTGGAGAGAGAGAGAGAGAGAGAGAGAGAGAGAGAGCAAGAAGTTGAGAGATAAGTTTTTATTCGCAAAGATAAGTCTCCGATAGGGGTCTTGGCTACTGTAGGCGCACATTAAATAATGCCCTTCTCTTTAAACGTTTTCCTTATTTTATTTTATTTAATTTCCACTTTTTTTTTCGCAGTGGACGATGCTTCCGGCCATTATACATCCGGTTTCTTCTATGGCAACAATTATTGGATGGGTTCGTTGGCCCTTTGCGATGCCATTTACGATGGCTCGAGCACCATCGACAGCAGCAGAAGCAGCAGCAGCAGCAGCAGCCCCAACAGCACCGCCAGCAAGGACAACAGCACTGCGAACAATGGGAATGCCAATGCCAATGGGAATGGGATTGGGAATGGGAATCGTAACAATGGACTGCCCTTTGCCGAGGCATATGCCGAGGCCTACAGCAGCGTCTACAATGCGCCGCCTCCGTTTCTGCCCGGTTTCTATGTGCTCAAGCTGCAGCTAAATGAGACGATGCCAACACAGGTGGTAAGTCGAGTTTAATCTAAGCTATAGAGTCATGAGAGAGAAGCGTATGAAAGAAAGGCGAGAAGTTAAAGCTCGTTTGGGCATCTAATTTGGTTGATTACCCAAACTAATCAAAGCGTAGCAAAGCGCAGTTTACACAACTCTTTTGGGTGGCATTTGCAAGCGCAGCGAGAAGCAATTAGAGAAGCTGGCAAAGTTCAATTGTGCTACAAGGCATGTGAATATACAAATTGAAAATAAACAACCATTAAATATGCGTAGCAAACTGAAATGTTATTTAAATCAAAGTGAAGTTCAAAGCGAGAAGCAATTAGAGAAGCTGGTAAAGTTCAGTTGTGCTGAAAGGCATGGAAATCGAAGGGAAATTTTCAGCGAAAAATAATTGACGAAGTTTAATTTGATTGCACTTCAATTTAGAGCAAAATATGTTCTCAGCGAAGTATTTTGGCAAAGCGAGTTGCGTTGATAGCATTTGCATAACTTGTAGCATTGCTTTCTAGATTCAAAATTAGCGCTTCTCGCTTCTCTTTGCTTCTCACTACTTAAAAAAAAAAACCTCAAAGCATGATTATCAAAGTCAATAATGATTTGAGTATAAACTAACTAACTCTAGCGGAAATGCTTTTATTGAGTCATGCAGCGAGAAGCGTGGATAAGTGAAAGTATTAAGAGCAGTGAGAAGCTCAGACTTCTCAATTTGTAGAAGCAGCCACTCGAATGTATCCGAGTAATTCAGAGCTTTGCTTATTGCAATAAAAGATGATTGCTTCTCACTACGCTTCTCCCTGCTGCCTTTTAGCTGCTAAAGCATCTGGAATCCAATAAGTTCTCTCTTTTCAATCCTGTTCTTCTCTTTTGTAGCTACGCACCATTTACATGGGCATGTGCCTGCCCTCCAGCTGCAGCATTGCGGACGTGCATCGGATGAGCGGCTATGCGCGGCAGGAGCTGCCCAGCCGGGAGCTGCGCGTCCTGGACATACGCGTGCCCACGGACAAGGAGTTCAACATATGGTCGGACAAGACCTTCTGCCTGCTGATGTAAGTACCAAAAGAAAGACGACAAAAACTCACTTTCAAAACTCTGAGCGTGAGGCTAGACGCTAATGGCCAGCGCAAACAGAGTGTGTGCCCCTTTGGGCTGCGGGCGTGGCTGTGGCCATTAGCATGGGAAGTCGTGTGAAATGGCCGAAAATAATTGAAAAGCGAAACTGTCGAGCAGATGAAACGGGAGGGGGGGACGGGCCACGCCCCGCATTTGTTTGGCCAACGTATTAACAGTTCTTTCCTCTAGCGTCGTCTCCGGCATTGTGCTCGGCCTGATCTGCTGCGGCACGCTCTACGAGATCTATCTGACGCGCCAGCTGCAGGAGGCGCTGCGTCTGCAGGACAAGGAGATGATGAACAACAGCGAGACGAGCTCCGGCATTGGCTGCGCCTCCTCCGACTACAGCGACACGATGATCGGCCACGAGGAGGCCCTGAAGCAATCCAATCAGTCCGATTCACTCAAACAGCTCGATCAGCTGGTGCTGCATCTGCCGCCCGTCGGCGACAATGACAGCGGCAATGGGCACCATCACGATCACGAGCACGAGCACGACCATGAGCATGAGCACGAGGATGAGCGCATGACCGTGCATCATCATCATCATCATCATCACCATCATCATCATCAGGCAGGCAGCAGCGGCAGCAGCCGCAGCGGCAGCGCAGTCGTTGGCATCGGCAGCGGCAGCGGCAGCGGGAGCAGCAACAACAACAACAACAACAACAGCAACTCGGACGAGCACCTGGAGGGCCATCTGCACGAGCCCGAAAAACTGAGCATCTATTCGGAACTTCTGCTCTCCTTCTCGGCCATCACAAACTTCAATGCCATCTGCGATCGCAATGTGGGCGCCGACACAATACCCTGCATCCATGGACTGCGTGCGTTCAGCATGGCCTGGGTCATACTTGGACACACGTGCATTGTTGTGTTCAAGTACTCGGACAACATGGAGATGCGCAAAGAGGTCGAGCAGAACTTCTTCTTCCAGGCGATTACGAACGGTCCGTTCAGCGTGGACACGTTCTTCTTCATCAGCGGCTTCCTCATCTCGTATCTGTACTTCCGCACGAATGCCAAGGGCAAGCTGAACAAGCTGAGCAAGGGCGCCAACGAGTTTACCGCCGGCACTGCCCACTTCTTTGGCCTGGTCGCCTATCGTTTTATGCGCCTGACCGCACCCTATCTGTTTGTGCTGGGCGTCGTTCAGGTGACAATGCGCTACCTGGCCGCCTACTCCATATTCGATCCGCCGACCATGGATCACATTACCTGCCCGGACTACTGGTGGCGCAACATACTCTACATCAATACGCTCTTTCCCGTTGATGAGATGGTGAGTATCGATTGCCTAATCCTAATCCTGATGCTAATCCCCCCTCTCTCTCTCTGTCTAGTGCATGTTGTGGAGCTGGTATCTGGCGAACGACACGCAGTTCTATATGATCGGCGCGATAATCCTGATCGTGGGCGTGCGTCATTTTAAGCTGTCGGCCATCACCACGCTGGTCTTTCTGGTGCTCTCCTGGATAACGACGGCTGTGATTGCCTTTACGAACAACCATCGTCCGAATACCGACGATCCGTTGGCGCTGTTCGACAAGATCTATGACAAGCCCTGGACCAGGCTGGGGCCCTATTTGATTGGCATGGCCGTGGGCTGGATATTGTTCCGCACCAATTGTAAGATCCGTTTGCCCCGGCTGACGGTGGCCACCGCCTGGACGCTGGCCATGTTGAATCTGTTCGTGCTCGTCTTCGGTCTGTACCGTACGGATTTGTCACAGTTCACGGCGGCCGCCTACAGCTCGCTGAGCCATTCGGCGTGGGCGCTGTCCCTCGCCTGGATCACCATCGCCTGCTCGACGGGCTATGGCGGCTATATCAATTCGCTGCTCTCGGCGCCCTGCCTCTATCCCTTCTCGCGGGTGACCTACTGCGCCTATCTGGTGCATCCCATTGTCATACGCTCCATGGCGCTCAACTCGGATGCGCCCTTGCATTTGGGCGGCGATTTGATGGTGAGTACCGCCCCCTTTCTATCTCTCTCTCTCTCTTTCTGAGCCTACTCATTCTCTTTGCAGGTCGTCATGTTCTTTGGTCTGACGGTCGCCTCCTATTTCCTGTCCTTTGTCGTCTCGATGTCCTTCGAGGCGCCCGTCGTCACAATGCTCAAAATCTTGTCACCTAGTCGAAAAAAACGTCTCGCCTAAGCCGGTGTACCCCCTGCCCCCTCCCCCCTCCTCCTCACCCACTCACACAAACTATTTATGCGCTACTATAAACGAATACATATTTTACTTTATAATACGGCACATCCATCTATGCGAAAGTTGTCTCTGTTTCCCCGCTGATTTAGCACATTCTCATTCGCCACAAGCAAGCAAATGTTTATCGTATTTATAGCATCGATCGTTCATTTATATCATTCCTCAACTATTCCAATCAATTCTTTTTGCCTTCTTATCTCTCTATCTTTCAATCTCCTTAACATTCCACAGATTTGTATCTATATATATATATATATATATATGTTTTTTTTTTGTTTCGTAATGTGTACATTTTAGTCGTTTAATTTATTCCAAAGGTTTGGAAATTTTGTGCGTGTCGAAAAATAATAGTACTTAATAGTAATAATTATATACATAATATATATGAAAAACATAAAAGAAAAACGAAAAAAAACCACACACACACACACAACTCTAGTACCTAATTTTACAAGTTCATGTTGTATATATATATACTATATAATATGTAAAAACCTTTAAATAAAACTGCTACCAAATAAAAAATATATAACAAACGGATAACTTCAATTTGAATCCGATTTGTTTGCATGGCCAAATTATCGATTAGCTGCACGATAGCTGGTCACACTACTTAACGAAACAATGCCCACTCAGGGCTGGCAAATAATAAACTGATCTAAATAATTTGTTGCGCCATGATATGAATATGAATATTTGTTTATTTTCTGACAAAAGGTAGCCCATTTTTTTGCAATGGCAATTTTAAATAATCTGTAAACAAGTTAATTAGAGAACGCAATTTGCAAAGTGTGGTGTTTGGTATTTTTTAGTACTTTAACGAAACTTAACTCAATGAACAGTTATTTGCAGCACATCAAAATCAAAAGCAGCGGACGAAAAGATGTAGAAACGTGTGCGTCAAAAAATATAATAGAAATTAAAAAAAAAAAAAACGAGAAGCCCCACAAACATTTTGTGTGTGAACGTAGCGCGTGAGTAGGCTCAGAGCCATTGGCCACTGTGCAACACCAGTTGGCAACGTTGTGCAACACTGAAACAGCTACGCCGGCATTTAGCGCACTTCGATGTGCATTAATTGAGAGACGTTTACCAATTTTCAATTGCCAACGCCAAACGGCAGCGCCAGCGCCTTTCGACTCATACGCATCCTCAGCTCGGGGCGTTGGCAGCACACGCACAGACATTCTCATCAGTTGGCGGCACAGTTGGCGTCATGGCCATGCCTTCGATCTCAACGCTGGTGGGCGTGGCGTTTTTAGCCTACATCCTGCATTCCATATACCAAATGTCGCAGCTCTTCACGACGCTCAAGTGCAGCGACTCGCCCTGCTACACATCGTTCCTGGCGGAGCGGCCGCGTCTGCAGCTGGCGCTGTTCAGTTCGCTGACACGTAATCCGATTGCCTCCGAGGTGCAGGATCTGTACAAGACGAAGCGTTTCGATTATGGCAAACCCTTCGATCAGGACTTCAAGCTGGATGTGCCGCTCAAGACGCGCCGCAACGGCACGCTCTACCTGCATGTGGTGCTGGCGCTGGAGGGCGAGCCGCTCGAGTGGCGCACCCTGCGCCGCGAGGGACCCACCGTGCTGCACACGCTCAGCATGTGCGAGTATATGTTGCCGCGGGCGGAGGCCTTTAATCTGCTGGGCGATGGCGAGAAGCAGTCGTCGTCGTCGTCATCATCGCCAACGGCGGCGCCCGTGAAGCGGTCATCTGTGCCGGGTCGACCCATCACACACATACGTAGCGATGTGTACGTGACGCTGCTGACGGATCTGTTTGCGCTGTCGCAGGCGGACGTGCCGCCAGAGATGGCACAGCTGATACGCGTGAATCGCATGCAACAAATACTGCCCATACTGCAGACGGACATGTTCAATACACGGCTCAAGGATCTGGTTGCCGTGACGAGCAACACCACCGAATTCACATTCCGCTTCCATTACAAGCCCGTCGGCGTGGGCAAGCTGCGCCTGATGCTGCTCATGGAGCACGCCACACAGGCGCTGCAGGCGTTCGGATTTGCCAGCAAGGACATTGACGAGGTCAAGGGCATCTTCTCCGACACGAATGTGTACCTGCTCTGCGGCACCATCTTCGTGTCCAGCATTCACGTGAGTAGCCATCATAAAAACACATCTGATTATTATGTATCTAACTGGCTGCACTTGCGCTTTGCGCCGCAACAGATGCTCTTCGACTTTCTGAGCTTCAAGAACGACGTGTCCTTTTGGCGCCAGAAACGCTCCTACGAGGGCTTGTCCACGCGCACCACACTCTGGCGCGCCTTCTCGCAGATCGTCATCTTTCTGTATCTGCTGGACGAGCAGACATCGTATCTGGTGCTGGTGCCCGTCGGCCTCGGCACCCTGATCGAGCTGTGGAAATGCAAGAAGATATTGCGGCTCGAGCTGAGTTTCAGCTCGTTCATCAGCCGCAAACTGGAGGAGGTGGATCAGCGCAACGGGCAAGCACAGCCCGCCGCTGGCCAGCTGGCCGAGCAGCAGACGCAGCAGTTCGATCGCGAGGGCATGCGCTATCTCAGCTATCTGCTGTATCCGCTGTGCCTGGGCGGCGCCGTCTATTCGCTGCTGTATCAGCCGCATCGCTCCTGGTACAGCTGGACCCTTAACTCGCTGGTGAATGGCGTCTATGCGTTTGGGTTTCTGTTCATGCTGCCGCAGCTGTTTGTCAACTACAAGCTCAAGTCTGTGGCGGCTCTGCCCTGGCGCGCTTTCATGTACAAGGCCTTCAATACGTTCATCGACGACTTCTTTGCCTTCATCATCACCATGCCGACGGCTCATCGTGTCGCCTGCCTGCGCGACGATATTGTGTTCCTTATCTATTTGTATCAGCGCTGGCTCTATCCGGTGGACGCAACGCGCGTCGATACGGGCCTCGCCATTGATGAGACGCCTCCGGCTCGTGGCACCGGCTCCGGGTCTCGCCCCAAGCGCGACTAAAGCCTCGCTTCGGCTCATGACATCACAATGCTAAGTAGCTGCATATTCCGTCGATTTGTTTAGCAAATAGTTGCAACCATTGGCTGTAATCAATATACCCTACACACACACACACACACACACATACACACACACACACACACACACACACCCATGTAAGTGTTTATTGTAGCAAATGCAAGCGTCTCCACGTAACATTTGTTGCCCGCCTTGTTTTACGAATTGTTGAAGTTCCTTTTCACGATTGAAGTTCCCTTTCAGTTGGATCCTACTCGCCACACAAATTTGTATACCCTGTATCCCACTGGATGCATAGCAGGCGGAGAGGCAGCCAACACAGTAGCAACATAATCTGCCCTAGTGGAGGAGGCGACATATTCTTGATAAGCCGGGATATACATATATTCCCATTTTCACCGCTTTCACGCAGGCAAGTTCCCCAAGCAGGCAGTAAATATGTCCAGAGTCGTCCGGATCGGACCACTATAAAACCCTTCCTTTATACTCCCAATATAAACACAAGTTCTTTTCAACATCGGAACATTTTATTATATAGCATTCGTTTGCGTATTAATATCTTGTCTGATTTTCAAAATATTCCAAGTTAGGAACTTCTTACAAAAGATATGCCAACATATGAGCAAAGTCCCATCAGTACTAGATCTCATGGTAAAAATCTGTTGGGAAAAACATTGTTAATATAATTAATCTCTATGGCAATAACTGGGAAAAGGTAATCGCTAAATTTTCTTGATTCGCATCAATGTTATTCGTTATCCCGAAATATCCATATCGGACAGTTCGAATGGGAATCACATAACTAGAACTTTTCCCAGTTGGATGATAAAAGACAGCAAATCCAGTTGAAGGGGAATGTTAGCGGCAATTCGCAACGTATTTTGATAGAGCCTCAGCTAGCCTCCAGGAATGCGCACAGTAGTATTCGCATACATTTAATGATCCTAACTGGGTTACAGGTGATCTATTTGTATTAGGTTTTTTTTTTTTTTTTTGTATATTTTTTGTTGTTGGCAAAAAAATGATTTAATTATGTATAGTATATATAGTAGCATTAGAGCTTAACTAAACTAAACTGCCGAAGGAAAAGGGAGTTTGCCGTGCCGTGCCATGTCGTGCGGTTCGACAGGGATTCACAGGAGACTCGCTTAGCCGTTGCGTATGCCGAGGGCCTGCTCCAGTTCGGCGCGCTTCTGATTGACCTTGGTGAAGAAGTAGCGCGAGACGGCCTCGTGCGTCCAGGGCTGATAGTAGAACTCGGCGCGTCGCTCCTCCTCCGGATTGCCAACAACATCGGTCATGAGCTGCGAGAGCAAACAATTTATAGGATTAGAGAAGGATGCCAGATCAGGAACATTTGTGTTAACTCACCTTAAGGTCTCGCGTCTGGCTGATGATCCAGCGATGGATAAACATTTGCGGATCCTTGGCAAAGCTGAGAAAGAATTCGCGATTCGTTTTCATTTGATTGATCGTATCGACGGTCTCGTGTATCTTTGTGTCCAGACCCTGGATCTCCTGCTGGCTGGCGGTGCTCATCAAAAAGCTATTCATTTGGGTCTTGAGCGTGTCGTCCACCTCGACATCGATATCGTAGCAGGCGGTCTGTTTGTTCTCCGCGCCGCTCTCAATGAAATGATTGATGACAATCGGATCTGGCGGATGGAGCAGCGGATTCAGACGCTGTGGTATCTCAGCAAATTTCATGCGCTGACAGCTGAAGATCTGCTCCAAATATTTGTCACAATTGATATACTCCCGCTCGTGGGCATCCTGCAGCTTGTGCGTCTTGATGTACTGCCACAGCGCCGAGATGATGACGGGCCGCGTCTGTGTGTGCACGCCCAGCAGCCGGGCCAGGCGCGGATCCAGTTTGAACTGCAGCGGCTGGTAGTCGAGCAGCAACAGAATGGTGCAGCGCACATTTCGATCGCCGGGCCGTTTTACCTGAAACCCGTCCGTTTCCTGTGTGGTGTGTGTGCGATGCCATTCCACCAGATGATTATCCGGCCCATACAGCTCCTTGTCCAGTTCGATGACCAGCGACTTGAAGAACGATGAGAATTTGCGCTTGATCTTCGTATTGGGATCACCCTTGCCATCCTCCAGCAGGCGCCCCTCCACACGCAGCTCCCAGGAGGCAACGGCGCCCTCGTCCCCATCATTGCTCGGCTCCTTGCTCGGGTAGAATGTATTCGAAATGAAGATGCGCAGCTTGCGCTTCTGCTTCATTGGCCGCTTGAGCGCCTCCTGTATGTCCAGACGTTTGCGCATGATGGTGGCGTCCAGTTTGCGTTCAAATGTTAGCAGATCCATGTACGCCTGCGACTCCGGCACCAGGTCGCGCACCTTTTGGGGCAATATTTTATCCGCCAATTTCTTCTTCTTTTTGGCGCCAGTTGCAAATTCGCCCTTGTTGGGACCGCTGTTCAGGCTACGTGACTCCGCCGAACGTTTGCTGCCACCGCCGCCGCCAGCACCGCCGGAGCCGCTGCCGCGCAATCCGCTCTGGAAACTGGGCTGGGTGGTGCGCTGCAGCAGCGCGGGGCCGGGGCCAACGGGCGCGGTAACACTGCCGGGCACTGGCTGCGTTGTATTCGGATGTAGCGGAAAGCCGCGTGGCTGCATGCAAAAAAAAACAGGGGGCGGGGGAGGGGCGAAAAAAAACGAACAGTGTGAAAATTGGCAATTAATCGATGATTGATTTGCACTTACCGGGAAAGTGGTGCCGGTGACTGGTGGATAGGGACGCATGCCAGGCGATTGGGGTGGTGGCTGGTAGCGCGACTGCACTGGCGCTTGGCCAGGCGCAAAGCGTTGCGACATTTTTAATTCTGCTTTGCGTTAAATAACTTGGCAGTTGTTGCAGTTCAAGAAAATTACAACCTTTTTTATTACAACAACGCTGCGTCACAAAAAAAAAGTCTGTAAAATGGCGTCAGGCTTAGGGTTGTAATATATACAAAGTCGCTATCGATAGTTGGGCTATTGAACAAATGCCGACATATCGATGAGTATATATATATTTGGCGATATTTTCAATTTAATGTTGCTTTTTTGTTTCGCAATGGGCATTGAAAATCCAATTTGTTGGTCAAAATGCGGCTTATATAATTTAAATCTATGTGAAAATCGTAAAATATTTTTAATTTTTATCGATGCACACCTAAGTGGTAAATTTTAATGATAGCTGCTGTATTTGGTATTTTTGGGTATTTTATGCCTGCACAAGACGCGGTCACACTGACCGTGACTAGCGGCTTTGGCTGTCACAATTTTATCAATAAGCAGCCAGTTGCTTGACTTATTATTTTCGTTTAATATAAAAAGTTGAAAGTTTTTGTGTTCGCAAGCAAAGCAGAGAAACGCAACGAGCACACAATGGAGGAGGAATGGTGGCAAACCAATTTGCGCGAGCTAAATGCAAAGGGTAAGCGCATGGAGACGCTCACCAGTATGTTTACGAAAATCAACAAACAATCGGCCCTGCCGCGCCATATAATTGAGTCGCTGTTGCGCGCGCCGGCGCTCTACGAATGTGCCATCGTCGAGGATGCCGACAAAGAGCCACTGGTGAATATGTCCACTGACTTTATACGCAGCTGCCTGGACCAGCTGCAGCTGGACATGAGCGATGCGAATCTGCCGCAGCTGCTCAACCCCGCGCTGCATCATTCTAATCCCGCCCTGCGTGCCTTGGTGCTCAACAATCTGCTAAAGGAGCTGCGCCGCCAGACTAGCGACAGCGCAATACAGACGCTGCCCAGCAACGAGTTGCTCGTCTATGTGCTAGACGAGCTGCAACAGCCGGAGACGCAGTGCAGCGCCGCCGCCATCAACATATTGACCATTGTGCTCAGCCAGTGGCTAAATGATGCCGGCGTCCAGTCCAAGCTGGTGCAGCTGCTGCAGCAGAACGAAGTGGTACGCTGTCGCGCCTACGAGTTGGGCGTCATGCTGGCCAAGCGCAGCGCCGATTCTCTAAGCTCCGTCGAGTTCATACTGGATGCAGCGCTCGGCGAGTTGGACAACGACGATGTGCTGCTGCAAGCGAGCGTGCTGGAGATACTGGTGCCTTTGGCCGAGCAGAATCACGGCCTCAGCTACATGGAGCGACGTCGCGTCTTCGATATCATCAGCAGTCGCGTGCAGCGCATCGAGGAGCATCCATTGGACACCCTGCTCATACCCAGCATCATGAAGTTCTTTGGCAAAGTGGCTGCGGTGCAGCCGCAAAAGATCATAGCCGGCTATCCGCACATGCTGGCCTGCCTGTTTGAGCTGCTGCAGTCCGGCGATGAGGCTGTCCTGCCCACGGCCATGGACACGCTGGCCAATCTGGCGAGCACCGTGCAGGGCAAGAAGCTAATGCATGCACAGTTCCAGCCCGCCATGCAGCAAACACTGCGCAAGTATGCGGACTATATCAGAAATCTCTCGCCGCCGCTCAAAATACGCTTGCTCAACTCTCTGGATGTCATCTTTACCCAGGAGACGCCGGCCAGCTCTGAGCTGAGGTGCGCATCAGTTTGGGCCTTATGAGTAGCTGTCTCTGACCGTTTCCTTCTCTTGTTTGTTGTTGCAGCGCCATTTTGAAGAACTGGTACGAGTGCTTTGCCAGTGGCCAGCAGCTGAGCCACATCATGGAGCTGCTGCACACACCGTTTCCCGATCTCCAGCTGGCCGCGCTGGGCCTGCTAAAGACCCTCTGCCAATACCAATGGGGCATCAAAGCTGTGCAGGGCACAGCGGGTGCCATTGAGTTTTTGCTGTCGCGTCAGCCTGATCTGCACAAGGATGTCAAGTATCTAAAGTGGCAGATTATGGAGCAGCTGTCGGTTAGCAGCGAGTTTACGGCCACCGAAACGGTGCGCTTCACTGCCTATGTCAACGAGGGACCATATCATGTCCAGAGCAATGTCAACATTGCCACCGAGCCGCAGGGCAATCAGTAGCCACAGGCGCTATCACACCTGGTCAGCCGGACACCCACATTCACACCCACACACTCACACATACACCCTAAGCAATACAAGTAGCTGTGAATGCACTCCATGCCTGAGGTTATGCTGCACGCATAACTGCGCCTGCATTTACAGTTAAACCACACTTGAGGTTAGTTTTGGGTCTCCTTTTTAACCCAGTTGAAAAATCCATTTGAAAAGAAATAGGTCTCGTTTTCTTTTTTGCGCAGCAAAATTCCAAATATATGTATTTAATTACACGTTTGTATATTTGATAGAATTATATTTAAATTTAACTATTTAGATCACATGTGGATAAAATCGCGCTGCTCAGTCCAAGTTGACCTACAGGTAGCTCATATGCCTGTGCGACATGCGCTTGCGTCCGGATCCGCCAATGCCGCCGCCAGCGCCACCGCCACCGCCCAAATGCGCCAAACTGACGCTCAGGCCGGACTCGTAGCCGGTCTGCGTTTGGGAGCGCGTCTCATTGTTACCCAGCGAGCAGGTGGGCAGCGTGTGGCAATATCGACGCAGCTGCTGTTTAAACGCGGCCGTTGTCAGTGTGTAGAGCACCGGATTCAGTGCCGAGTTCACCGGCAGCACCAGCACTGCCAGCCAGGCGTACAGATCGGGCGAGATGGCACAGCCTAGAAGAGCACAGCATCAGCACAGTCAGACGAGCCCACAAATGCGAGCGAGTAAGCGATAATTGGGTTACCTGACAATGCGGCCACTTTCACTACTATAATGGGCAGCCAGCAGGCGCAGTCCGTCGTCACAATGATGGCAAAACTGTAAGGATTAAGAATAAATAATAGGCAGGCAAACATTGCAGTCGACTCAAGCCGACTGCGCGATACTCTGTTCACGGCCTGAATGCAGCTACCAACCACCCGAAGAGAGTCTACTTTGATTATTGGCTGGCTGCTCGTCAAACTGTAAGTAACTAGAATGACTTTCAAACTGTAGGCATATTGAGAGATAATAATTCTAACCAGAAATTAACAATCAGAGAAAATTGCTTTGAAAAATTCTTGTAGGAAAACTTCTCTACATTTCCTTCCTAGAATATTCCCAAATAGGGAAATAACGAAAACCCACTTAAAATAAGTACAAGATCCTAATAATAAGAAGGGTAAAATGGGCTTTACGGATCAAGTTTTTTGAGTCGAAAAAATATGGAGACTGTATCAAACGAATATGTTTTTTTTTTTAATAACAATGATGTCTAGTACACCCACAAAGGGGGATATGTCAGTTAGAAGCTTTATATTATGTACATAAAGTTTTTGGTCTTACGCAAAGCTACGTTCGCTTTTCCAAGATAGTCCTAAAAGTCCTAAGATAATTGCCCAGCCTAATAAGATAGATAATCTTCGCTGATTTCAACTACCAAGCACTTTATCAAAGCGCTCTCAGGCTAAACAACATGTTAAAGTGTTTGTTAACTTTGATAGAAACACGAGAAAGCGTTTCTCAGTTGCTTGCAGACACTTCTAAGCTGTTGTGCAACACTATTTTGTAAGTGTTGCCAGCTTTACTTTAGCTGTGCAGCAGTCAGGCCTTCTATCAAGCTGTTGACAGAGGAAACGCGTCTCTCTGACCTCGTAAGCTACCTTTGGGCAAGACTTGCCGCCAACTGACTCACCGCGTGGCCACCACACTCTCGCGTCCGCTGTGCGTGCTCCGCATGCCGCCGCCGGAGTCGCGTATCGCCTGCAGCATGCGCACGTACGAGAAGAGTATGAATATCAGCGAGATCGTGTTGATGCAGATGAACAACAGCGCCGAGTACTCCCAGCCCTGTCAAATAGTCGAGTTAAATACTTTCAATTCGATTCCGCTTTGCATGCTCACCTTGGCGTAGGGATCGTGTATGTGTAGCGAGAGGCAGACGCCGTTGTTGCCGTAGAAATGGGCGCCAAAATAGTCGTTGGGCAGCAGCGGGGCTGCAGCCAATCCAAAGCTGATGCCCCACACAAGCAGCAGGCGCAAAACAATTCTGAAAGCAAAAAGCCATGTTTAATAGATGCATTTGCGTTTTACAACACTGCCGCGTGAACACATTTGAATAGCGTTTCACAGCACTGCACTGAGGCTGTGATTTAAGTTCTACCCAATCTTCAATACTTTAAAACAAGTTAAAGGCTTTGGGGAACTCAAGAACTTTTGTATTTGGTTCACGACTAGCAACAATATCTCGCCTTTAGGTCAGACTCTTTTGGCGCAAATATCGTTTTTCTTTTCACTTTGAACACAATAATCCGGCTCTTTCATATATTTATATTTATACCATTTATTATTATTATTATTGATATCTCATATATTTATTATGCTTAAATTGATTTTTAATTATTAAGCAATTCTTTTATCAAAAATTAATGTTTGGTTTAGATTAAGGTTCGACTAAATAGGTTGAATGTTCGTTTTATAGTATAGCCTTGGGTTCGCACCGGCGCTTATGCCATAGCTGGTTCAGAGCAATGCTTGAAGGCACTTTAGCACTTTTTCAATAATTGTTCATCAGAATCGCGTCTAAGTTTTGAACTTACCGAATCTTTTCCGTATCGCGTGGCTTCAGTGGCCGTGTGACAGACATCAGGCGATCCCAGGTGACCAGGGTTAGCAGCAGCGTGGAGGACTGACAGCTGAAGGTGCTCAGAAAGCCTGCAAGCAATAGGATTATATTGGTGGATCAGAGGTGAACTTGAGCACGCACCTGCAAAGGCGCAGAATCCGCTGTGCCGCCAGGATTCCTCGTGGCGAATGTACTGGCCGCGAAAGCTGATGTCCGCGCACGCGATAAGCGTCAGGTAGATGCCCATGAGGAAGTCACTGACCGCCAGGTGGCGCAAGTAAAGCGAATGCTCCACATTGCTGCGAGATTTGTAAAAATAACGGCCGGCCAGGACGAGCAGATTGCCCACCACCGCAATCGAGGCCATGATCCAAACGCTGTAAAGAAACAAGGGCAAATATCTATTTACATGGAACTGATTGATTGATTGATTGACTGACTGGCAGGTTTGATGGACTGACTGACTGACTGATGATCAAAGCATAAAGCTCAAGTTGTTAGAGCTGGAAAGCTGCACCTTTTTGAGAACTTGTGTGATGTGGGGGAAAACTTTCATTTGAGACGTGTTTCACATTTTTCGTAAAATCCACTCCACTTGGTGGAAAATTGAGTTCAAAGATTGTATGGTCGCAGCTTTAAGTGTCTACTCCTAAAACTTAAAGCTCGATATAAAAATGTAATGAATACGTAAAAAATGCAATGCGCATTCGTTGAAAATTCTCGGAAAACGCCTATTTACCAAGATTGATGTAAAACTGCATGTGATACTTGTTTCGAAATCGTTGATTCCCACTTTTGGGTCTTAATTCGATGGATTCCAAATCCAAATATTAAATATCTATGTAAACTATGTCCTGAGTCGAGGAGTACAAGAGATTTCGTGTAAATTTCAATAACTTGAACCTTGTTAAATGGGCGAAAATTCATTAATTTAGAGCCCAAACATGGAGTACAAGATGGTACGGGAGACTTCAACTTTCCAATGTCGGAAAATGGGTGAAATTGGCGGTGATGCTGATAATTGAAAGAAAAAACGGCCGGAAAACACTCGTAAGATGTTTAGAGAGGGATGAGGAGACAGAGAGAGAGAGAGAGAAAGGGTAAATGATAGATAAAGAGACAGAGAGAGAGAGAGGGGGAGATAGGGAGAGAGCGAGAGGAAGCGCCCACAGTGCGTATGTAAACGGAATATCAATTGCCATAAATTTAGGCAATTAAAGCAAATTTAAGTGCCCAAACACATCGCCCCCCCGCCTCAAACCCCTACTCAATGTTATTGGCCAATTAGGTGTAGCCGCCTTTGTGCCACAGAGTGTGTGTGCTTGTTGTGTGTGTGCGGTGTGTGTGTGTGTGTGTGTGTGTGTGGCGCACAATTGTCAAGTAGCTGGGTGCTCATTATTGCAGTCATAGTTGCTGCTGTTTGTTCGTGGAATTATGATTTGGTTGCCAGGACACGGCGCACACTAGTAGTTGGCATTCCGCATCCGCCAGCTGCTGTCGAGGACAATTGTGAATGCTTCCCTTCTACTTACGATGATTGCAAAGATAGTGTGCGTGGTGGGGGCAGGGGAAAGGGAGGGATGGGAAGTGGTAACCAGTTAGCAATGGGACTGTAATTTATGCCAGCTTCAAGTGTCCTGTCATCCATTCATTTGCCTTACAAGCAAAAATCATGACACTTTGCTGGGTTAATGCTAAAGTAAAGACAAGAAGTTCGTCCTACACACCAGTAATTGTGATTGAATGACACTAGGCTAAAGTGAGGCTTTAAGGAGCGATTACTTCGAGCAAGAGAGAGCGGGAGCTTAATTTAATTGCATACAGAGCTTTTCAGCAAGCTTTTTCTTGCTAAAGGAGCTTAATTGTACAAGTTGCAATAAATATATATTTAAATTGTAGTAATTCTGAGCTTTCAGTTTAAGAATGTTTAATAAGGTGCTTGAACTTTTCATAGAACATTTGTAGCCTGCAACCTGTGAGCTATGCTGTACTTTAAGTTTAAGCTGAAGCTTCATTTAAATCCGCAAATGTCATTTGTGTTTTCAGGCCTTTGAGTGTGCTTTGAGCTGAAGTGCAAGCTTTCAAGTTAAGAATATGCTTGATTGTATTAAGCTCAAGTATAAGCCTGAAACGAGCTTTAAGCGTAATATTAATATATTATTTTAAACAAGACAAGCTGTGTTGAAGTAAGGTTTGAAAGAGGTTTTTGGCCTGAAATAAACATTCAGCTCATCATTAAGCTTGGCTTAAAAAGTTGTCTGTGAATGAGCTTTAAGCATTTAGTTGATGAAGTTTGATACAGCTTGATAGCTTTGCATTTGTGGGTCTGGTAGTATGACTGAAGAATCTCTTGTATTAAGTGCTCAATTCAACTTAAGTTTACTTCTCTGTTCACCATCTAGCCAAGCTTTCAACTGATTTCAGAAGGGAAAAGACTGCCAAGCAACTAAGCAAAGCGCTCTTCAGTTTAACAACATGTTAAAGTGGTTGGTAACTGTGATGGAAATACGAGAAAAAGCTTCTTAGTCGTTTGCAGACACTACTAAGCTGTTGTGCAACACTATTTTGTAAGGGTTGCCACCGCAGGCATTGTGGTTACTTTAGCTGTGCAGAAGTTAGGCCT